AACAACAACAACAACAACAACAACAACAACAACAACAACAACAACAACACCAGCAGCAGCAGCAGCAGCAGCAACAGCAACAGCAACAGCAACAGCAACAACAACAGCAACAACAACAACAACAGTAGTCCATACAAAGGACTAGGACCACTGAAACCGGTCGAACTCCCAACCGTTTTTCTTCGGCATTGTACTGCAGCCAAGCCATGCGTGGTCGCATAGCGCCAAGCTGACACGGCGATTTGATCCCTTTAACCCGCTGCCCAAGGCTCCAAATGCTTCATCACCTCATCGAAGCCTTGCCCGAAGACGTTCTTTGTCACCGCTCGCACCTCGCGGGCTGGGCGACGCCAGTCGGGCACCAAACGTGCGAGGGCCGCCGCACGCCGCCAGGCGTGGCAGGTCGAAAAAGGGGATGAAAAAGGAAGGGAGTTGAAAGCATCTCAGTTGGACTTCATGGTGATGACATGCACTCGACATCAATTTGAACCCATCTTCAAATGTCATAACTCACCGTGGTGAACGATGTTGGGGTTCCATTGCAGTGATGCTTTCATGTGCTTTCCAATGAGGCCAACTAAGGATCTTCTGGGATGCTTGACTGCAGAGTGACACCGATCCAACAAACCCTCGCCAGTTTCATGTTGTTTCATGTCGACTCTTGAGATATTCCAACGTGCAATTCAGAACCAGAATGCAACAACATTCATCAGTCCAGTCCACATGAACCTCCCAACTCCTCCGCGTCCTATCAACACGTCCAGCACGTCCGCGTCCTTCACGTCCATTCTGCGCTCCGTGCGGCACCTGCTCCAGCATCCAAAGGCGATCTTCATTCACCACCAGGCGGTCTCCGATGACGCGCCAAATTTCGTGCACCCAAAGACGCACGTGGCGCGCCACGCCATCACATTCCTGTTTCTTCAGCAACCTCAGGCACTCAACAAAGGTGAAGTGACCGTAAGTAGGACCCTACCGGGGTACCTATGGGATAGTCTATGGGGTTCTATAAGGTTCTTCAACCTGGTTGGAATGATCAGTAAATCAGGGAACTCCTTTCCACAGTTTATTCAGGCTGCTATTGGGTACGCACACTCGAGGCAAAGAAAAGAAACACTACATATCACTATGTAACTTCTCGGTGAATCTGCACACATTGCCGTGAAGGGCGCTATGTTCTATGTAAGATCCTGTAAGGTTCAGCTCCGACGTGGACAAGCCGGAGGAGTCCAACTCCCGAAACGGCCAGGACGCAGCACACCGAAGATGATCTTGGCAAAGTCTCGCAGGTTGAAGGTGTAATGCACCTGTGCAGGACCAAGAACGTACACAGGAGTTCTGCAGGGCCGCTGTTGGCCTGGCAGCATAGGCATTGTTTGCAACATAGGATGTACTCATTTAAGACAATGCATCAACATTACAGTGGTTTCAGAGTCGATGGCACAAACTCAAAGATGTCTTTTATATGGGGGTCCTCATAAACCACCAAACTTAGGGATTGCGCCATCTACTCTGAAACCACTGCAAGTTGAATGTGTCAAGTTAAAAGTTGGAACGTGTAAAGTCGCGCTTCTTTCGTGGCGCTCTTCTTTTCCTAGCTCGGTTCTTCAAGGATTGATATTGGGGTCGACTAGTCCTTTTGATCGAAAGCCCAAAGGAATGACATTCACCAGGAGTTGTTCATATACTTTCTCTTTCCCTAGGGCTCCAAGTACCTCCTCAGGTGTTTGGGGTGGGGTTTATCATTCTCGATCCAAGTAGTGATACCCTCTGGCGAATGTCCCTTTCGAATCCCCGAACGCCGAAAACACCATGCGGCGTTCCCCCATGCGTTCGACCCCCAGAGTCAGAACAAAGGCGCTCTTCGTCTTCCAACTCACTGGTCTAATGGTCTTCCAACATCTGCCTAAGCAACACCCCCACTGAAACCCTCTGCTTACTTGGATGTGGCTGATCGTACCGACCGACCAAGAGGTCGTTCGATACGACCCATCGGTGGTTTTGGGGCTCCAGGTTGAACGACCATTCCTCACTTCACCCCTAAGTGTCTTTCTCCAGGTTGAACGGTTCCAAGTTACGTCGCCTCCCTCCTCCACGCCGCCAACACCGCCACACGTTAGGCCCTGGGCCTTCAGTGGCGTGGGCAGCAGCGAGGCCACGGCACTCTTGTAGATCTCCAGGGTCCCTGCCACGATCTTCTTGGAGAGACCTGGTCCCCGATCTCCGCGGCTTCGGTAGTCCGGCGGCTCGTCCGGCTCACGGAGGGTCCACGGACGGGGGGGCCTTCTGTGTACAGAACCTGAACCCCAACGCGACCCGTCTGGGACTGCCAGGACGGACTGCCGTGAGGTATGGCCAGGGGTGGTGGTGCCAGGGGGGTCTGTCTGGGGCGGCACATGTGGCAGTCCCATGGAGTGGATGGGGAATGGAGTACACGTGAGTATATTGTAATTAGATGTAAATTAGTATACGTAGTGCACCTGCATGCAGAAGTGTACTGAGTCACCTGTCTGGAAACCGCCGGGTCTTCCGATCCACATTGACCAAATGAAGAGTCAATTGAACCCAGAACACTTGCACTCCACTGGTGGGGAGGAACAGGCCATCTTCTGTCAAGCATTGCCTATCCCGTGGTTCGCAACGTCTTACCCTCCGACTCTTAATATGGAAGTGGAAAATGGGCCCTTGGCAAATCATATTCCAATACAAAGAGGCGGTTTTCCACTTCCACGTTTCTGAGTCGGAGGGCATCAACTTCGGTGCGGCAAACATCAAATCCACAACGTCCGCCGCACCTCCTGCCGCCACATCCCGCCGCACATCCCGACGCTCGAGAAGGTGGTTCAAAGGAGCGACCCTTTTGGCTTTGTAAAAGCCCGGTTGTGAATTCGCATGTTTTCGGCCACGACCGGGCAACACCGTGTGCTAATTCTCAACTAAATATAGAGGACACACAGCATTATTGTATGTATAGTAGTTGCATATATGGACATCTACAAGACCAGCTAAGACCATCACGTATGTGTTCCTCTTGTTTTCGGCTCGCTGCATTGTCAAAAATAAATCACTAGCAGGTAATTCCCTTGCAGTGGCCTGTCACCTCGCCAGGATAGCCATCGGCTTGAAGCTTCCAATCGAGGATGGTGGAGAAAATCATCTTCATGTTGTCCTGAGGAGTTACATTAATATAGAACCCCAGGAAGTAAGAGGTGTGTGGGGATTCGTATGGTGGTCCTCTCAGACATTTCATCGTGGTGCTTCTTTGCTTGATTTGATGCTTTCAAGGTTATCACGGGATCTTGGCTATTGGGATTCGCGGGGCATGACGGGGCAAACTCAAATCCGGTAGATTCTCTTGCCGCTGCTTTCGGAGAAAAACAGCAAAGGTTGTTCAAGCTAAACCCAGATGTCTCTTTTGAAGATAAGGTGAGTAAACCGCACTGATTTAGACACCCCAAATGTTCAACACTCACTTAAACATCCACACAACGAACCTGGGACAAAAGGGCATATCTGAACCAACGGGGTTATTTGTGGATGAAGAACTGACTGAGATAACCCCGTCAAGATTCATGCAAACCTTCGATGTTGCCACATGTTACGCTTCGTCATGGTCCTAGCTCAACTATGTTGCAAACACCATGCTGAATACCTTTGGGACATCAAACCGTTTACTGGTGCCTCCACCTCGGGGTCAGCGCTTTTGGTCATGCCAGGGTGCATCATCCAGCAGGGGAAAGCCGACCTCAGTCCAGCAAAGCCAAGTCTGAAGAAATCCAATTCCATTCATTCAGTGATTAGGGAATTCCCTTGCAGCTCCAGCTTCATTGGCACCCAGCTAGAGTCAAGCCAATGAAGCACTTCTCTGTTGGGGTGCCGGTTCCGAACGGAGGAAGTTGGGATACCCAGGGTACCCCAAACATCCACTCACTGATGAAACCGAGCCAAGCCAGTTCGACATGGAAAATAAATCCACAACGAAACTCCAACTCCCCCAGTCTAAGTGGGACAAAAAACACACCTTCGGCCATCTATTCCCACCCACCTTCAGCTATGATCAATGATCTTTCCATGATCCTGGTTTAAACAAAGAAAAAAACACAGAGACTCTACGCACCAACTTCTCTAAACCACGCACATCCACATAAGCCTCTGCCACTCATCTGCCTGTTTTGATCCAAAGGTGCCAAGTAGAGATGGCCACACATCCGTGGCGTAATGAAGGTCCGTCCGCCGCCGGGTGGGCCCATAGCGGCGAAGAGCAGCACGTCGATGATGGAGCGGAAGGGATGCGTCACATCCTGTCGACCCGATCTGGTGGACCGGTGGAGTCCGGTGGGTCGGAGCGGCGTAGTGGAGCGAGGTGGGGTCAATCCGCGGGCGTGGTGGAGGTTAGGGGGAGCTGGGAGGCGAAGAAATGAAGAAAGGAGAAGGACATGGGTAGGGTAAGAACATGACAAGAGGGTTGGACAAATGTAGAGTGTTGCAGGTAGAAGAGTATGAGTATGATGGTTTCAGGGCGAATGGTGGTTTAGCATGGTTTAGCATGTTGGGAGGGAGTCTCGTGGCAATCGTAGGGAGGCTCTTCTCTAGGTCTGGACTGCATGAGTTGCCAATGTCACTAAAGACTGGTAGCTTTCATGCTGGATGGAACCAGTACCTCTCAGATCACTGACAGTCTGATAGAACCAAGAGCCAGTAGACAATAGTTACCTTCCCTCCAATAAACATGGAAGTGGACAACACACAACTTTCGTACAGGAACATCATCACCCATAACTAGTCATTCTTCCATGTTTGTCGGATAGAGGGTGCAAGCTCATGGTCGGGCAACTTGAACGTCACTCTTGTCCCTTTCCTTCTGTTCAATCCCGACCTCAGCCTCAGCCGCAAAGCCCTAGTTTCACTCGTCCCATGCTGGGTCCTTCCGGTCAAACCATCCACCACTTTCAGGATACGCCCTGGCATCAATCATCTGCCGCAAGATCTCAATGGGCGGCTGAGCACCATAGGTCTCCTGACAAAGCTTTCGTACTGCCAAAGCAGCAAAAGGCTACGCCGTTAGGTCGGGATTCTGATTAGCAGCTGGTGTGTGATCTTTCATCTTGGGTCCGCCAGTCAAAATAATTCCACAAATACCTGCCATGTTTCTTGCCTCAGCTTCCAGTGGCCCTCAGTTGGCTTGCCTTGTCTCAATCCAAGGCTTAAGACCCTGAGTCCCTGGACGAGTCCGGCATCAGTCGGCTCTGGCCATGCATTCTGAAAATCCTCCGCCCGCCTTGTTGGGCATGTTGAGGTCGTCCACCATCAAGACCTCACATGAATTCACATTCGATGACTGACGAACATGTACGAACACCCAACCTTGCTGGGAAAACTTCTTTCCAAACGTCCATGCTCTGCTCTGATGTCGACATGGGGATCTGATGGCCTGTCGTAACCAAGGTCGATCTCATGTGCACCTGCTCCGAAAAGAGAGAAGCAGGAAAAACACCTTGAACATGCAGGGCAAAATGAGGCAAACATGACCCTCCAAATCTCTGTTCTTCTCATACCTTATACATGACATTACAAGTGCACATCAAAATGCATCAAATTGGTCAGCTCTGGCAGTCTGCCATTCATGATCCCCTCCACTCCAGTAATAGAGTGGATGATGACTCTGATGACTGTTGGCTTGCAGGCCTTTCTCTAAACATCGTGATACGATAGTGATTTACGACCTTTTAAACCGACCGCTCTTGAAACCGGATTTTCCCCCTTCCCACCCCCAAAAACGAGCTCCATCCCTCGCAAGTTGCAACCAAAAAGGTGATGTGTTTCCCTACACCTCCAGTCGTACCTCCTCAGGTTCGGTCTGACTGCACCCTCCTGGCACCCACTCCAAACATCCCCAGTCTCACCTTCGAAACGAAGGTACGACTGGAGGCCTAGGGGATGTGTTCGCTAAGCGGGGACGGACGGACGCATCCAGGTCACGCAAAGCTTCCCGAAGGGTGGGCCATAGACGCCCTTCCGTCGCCGGTCCAGCTTGGCGTCGATGAGGTCCTGCGGTTTTTTAACGTCCGGGTGCGGATCTCAACACCGTCCTGGGTCTTCCTCGCCTGTTTCTTTTCCTGCCTGTTCAAGGTTCAATCACCTGCGTCTTGAAGCACTTCTTGCGTCTCGGGATGTGTGACGAATGCTGCGGCGTCATCTGAGATGGTCCAGTCCGGGGAGACTTGTCCCGACCAATCGTGCCATATCTTGCCGTCTGGTTTTACCGGTAAGTTGGCTTCTTGCAAAAACCGTGGAACGGCACTTGTGACATGAAACGACGGCGTTCTTGATGGAACAACGACGGCAAACTGGGGTGTTACGCCGAGAACATGTACCCGGTGGAAGGTCAAGGTATTATATCAACTTTGCAGGGTAGCGGCGAAATGGAGGGGTGAATGACATCCGGCAAAACAAATACCGGAGTCTCTTCGACCACTTTGACAAGCAAAAAGCTGAGGGAAACAAACGGACTTGGCGTCTGTGCAGCAGCGGACTGTTGATGGTCTGAAGGGGTTGGTGGCCTGTTGAAGCGGTCGTTGGTCTTCAGCAACAGGGTCTTGCCAAGTGAATAAATCAACTCCCTCCAGCCTCCAGCTTGCTGTCTTTGCAGTCAGTATCCAGGAACCGTGACAAGGGTTGCATACAGTATCATGCAGCAAATATGGTTGCAGCAAGAAAGGTCTCACCTGAGTTTATCGCGATTGTCCACCCCCTGAAACCATCATGGAAGTGGACCCAGGGGCACCATTCTGCACGGACGGGAGTCCTGGTCGGCTTCCATCCAGCAACCTCGAACTATCTCACCCCCTTAAGGCACACACGGACCACCAAAAACCACCACCATCGACTCGCCATCGCTTCTTCTTTCCTCCACGGTCGCGTGTGCGGTCATGTCCTGGGTCTGGGCGCATTTCGTCTGAGCTGAAAAGCCCATCATGATCTGAGTGAAGCCCTCCTGCCACGCTCGGGTGGAGAACCACCTGGCTTTTTTCAGTCTTGAGCCACTTTCAAACATCCCAGGAGAATAGGAGAGTAGGGGTTCACAATAGATTGGATCGCTTACTGGCTACACTCCTTGAAACAATCATGGAAGTGGAAAATCACCTGTTAGTACAGGAAACTGATGGAGCATGGTCATCCAAATCATCCAAGGGGCCTATTTTCCCCTTCCATGATGATTTCAGGGAGTGTATTGCAATTATAAGCCGAACATATACTCTCCTTCCATCTGACCTTGACCTGCCTAAACCGAACCCAGGAGTGTCCAACGCGTTGCTTTTTTCCCGACTGTCTCAGCTGGAAGAGAAAGCTCCATGAACAAATGACACATGCAACGGCCCTGTCTCTCTCACTCTCTCTACCTCTCTTTCTCCAAGTTAAAGTCTACACATACACATTGAATCTCTGAGCAAGCTGACCTATCCAGCCATCATCACATCCCCATTCCTTCCAGACTTGTTCAGTCAACTCCAACCTCCCTGGATCACGGTCAAGACAGCATCACAACTCCTTGGACAGATTCATCAAGTTCTGTTGCATGTAGGCTGTCCTCAGCTTCAGCCCCAAGAGACACGTGTAGAGACATGTAAACCATGTCCACATTGTCCATTCAAAAAGAGTCCTGGGTTGGTGTAAACATCTTTCGGGAGATCACCCCGCCCTCGATCAGCTTAAAATGATCGTGTTTTTCCGCTTAATTTATAGAGTAGATGGCACAGACCCCAAGAGGTGGTTTATATGGACCCCCATCTAAAGGACATCTTTGGGTCTGTGCCATCTACTCTGAAACCACTGTAGATTGAAACCCACTGCTTCCATGTTCTCCTTTTGACGCACTGCACCTTCACATCTTCACCATCCAAGACGAGGCACTTTCCAGTGCCCGTGGGGCCGCAGAAGAGCAACTTGATGCGGTGCTTGATGCAATGCTGCAGGAAATAGCCTGCCAAGCGAGCGAGCTAGCTCGACCACACCGTAGGAGCCCGGCTTTTCTGGAGGCTCCTTGGATGGAAGACATCCCTCACGGTTCCCTCACCTGTGAAGTTCACAATGGGAATCCTCCCCGAGCTCTTTAAACCTGAGGTAGGCATACTGAGAAGGTGTCAGCACCTGGTTATTGGGTGGATTCCCTCTTCTTAATCTGGCAAGTTGTGAGAGTCCACCACTTAGCCACTCAAGCTAGTGGCAAGTACGTCAACTTTCACTCTTTCAGTCTCCCAGCCACCAGCTCCTCACCCCGGCCGAGGTGCCGTAACGAACACTATCCAAGGTCTGTACGATGATCGACTCCACCGCCGAGCCGGGTTTGATCTGTTGAGGATCCACGGTTTCCATCCAGCCGATCCATTTCAGCTCCTGGCGAAAAGGAAAACCACGCATATATGTTAAAGCATATGTATATATGATCCCTAAATAGGTGTCCACTTAGGTGTCCTTTCGGTGTTTTATGGATCCGCAAATAGATAGAAAAGTATAGATCAAGCCACTTAGATTAGATTGATCACTTATACTGGTACAGGTTAAGAAAGGAACTTTGGCTGCTTTTGAGAAGGAGCTGACATGTGATGTTTCTTCAGAAACATGTTGTTCCTCTATATGATTCCTATCAATGTGCAGGGCAAGTGGGACAACCTGCAGCATATCGTTGATGTTTGGGCAGCTTTCTTCAAAGTCCAAAGAGAGGTTGAATCTGAACCACATTGGACCACCATGAGGACTCCAATTCACCACATTCATTGACTGGACCCTCGGCCCATCTGGAGGCTCCGCCCGTCAACCACTCGTCCTTAACGGATTCGACGCTTCGACCAACCCGGTGATGTGGTACCTACACCCTGGTGCACACCGGTGCACACCGGTGCCAACCAAATGCCTCGTGCTTGTTGGGATCTGGCTGAACTTCTGAACACCCTTCTCTTTGGTGATAGCCAACATATGTCTCTTTGCAACTTCTAATTGCACAGACGACCCAGAAACCCACAACAAAGCTGACGCGTCACGGACGTCTTCCGCACTGTTTTCAGCGTCTCCACGGTGAGGTCCGTCCTCAGCCATGAAGATCCAGTCAAAGACCGAGCCACGTTCCGGGAATTCGGGGCTCAGCTTCCTCAGCTCAAACGCACCGCTCAAACGCCACGCTCAAAGCCGTTTCGAGGAGGCAGCTAGCTTGCTCGAAACAGCCCTTCAAAGACCATGAAAAGACAGGTTGACCTGGTCTTGGAGTCTGAAAATCGGTCCAAGAGCTCAAACAATGGTGGTTGGCATCCCAGGAGTCGATCGACAAAAGAAACTGATATCTACGGTGTTGGTCACATTGAACCAAAGCTTGGGCTAATTCTGGTGGCGCTCAGGGAAGGGTAATTTCATGATGTTCATGCAAATTCCTCAACCTCAGCTCATAGCTAATGACAGGGGACCTCCACATCTCCTATCAACATCCATCCAAAAACTGATGGTTGGCACATCCATTAGGTTTATATTGGTCCAACCACCCGAGACCCAAACCGTGGTTTTGACGACTGCTCTTGCGGAGTCCGGACATCGGACACCGGTGATGTCCTAACATCACCGGATAGATATCCCGCGGTGCCCAATCCGTCCCGAACACAGTGCCAAGGATGTGCCAAGGAGGTGCCCAGCTTTGATGTAGATCTGTGGATGAATCCAATTCCCCCATTCTGGGGATGTGCCCTATATTGATGTGCCCTTTTTCTTGATGTAGACTGTTGAACAGTGACTGTGGATGAAGCCAATTCCCCCAGAATGATGCCGGGAGGTCAAACCATTCTAGGACTTGGTCATGGTCCGGCCGTGGATGTTGGGATCCAAGTGCCAGATGCGACCAGGGTGGGCGAACATTCTGAGACCACCGATGGCCAATGGCCCAATTGTTTTGGCATGCAGGGTCCAAAGAATAGAACTCGAGCCTAGATCGGCAGGCCACATCCAATACACTCAGCTCACATCTGTGGCAGTTTGGTGACCCATCAGGCTACTCCCCCAGACCCACCAGGCCAACAAATCGGCATCGATGTTATAACTTATAACTTGTTAATAGTTACCTGGACCCTCGAAAGTACCCTAGAAAATGGAACATGACCCTATAAAAAGCAGGTACAGTATATTCTTGTACCCATTGAACCCGAGGTACGAGTTCCGGGTCGCCTCCAGGTCCTTCTTTTCTCCCAGCACGGCCTCCCTACGGGCACGGCCAAACCCGGGTGGGTGGAGCGGACCCTCCGAGCTGCTTGTAGGCGGTGATCCCTTCCACTTTGTTTTGCCTTGGGGCTGCGATTCAGGACGCCATACCCGGAGCAGGCACTTGCAGTGTGGCGATGAGGAAACCTGATGAAACTACCATCCCCGCTATAGAAGCATCCATTTGGGGGTTTGGGGGGTTGTGGCAGGTCGGCCGGGATCGTGTTCTGTGTGTTCTGTGTGTTCCTCGGCTCGAGAGACGGCGGGAGTCCCAACGCGAGACGCTTCTGGGCGGGCCGCGAGCGACTCGTGTGGTTCTTTCAAACGACTGACTCGTGCTTCGTCTAAGAGAATGGGGGTGGCTGGATCCTAAGGTATCTATTAGTGGAGTGTCATTCCTTCATTCCCTGCTAAGCACCAGTCAGAAGAGAGAGAGAGATCCATGAATGGTGAGTGTATCTGGTGCTATGACTGTATCTTGAAAAACGCATTGAACATCATGAACTACTTCACGGCGAAGACAGGAACAGTAAGTCTCCATCATGAGCTGGCCTCTATCTCTCTCTCGCTCTCCCCATCGGTATGGAATCATGAGCTGGCCTCTATCTCTCTCTCGCTCTCCCCATCGGTATGGAATCATGAGCTGGCCTCTATCTCTCTCTCGCTCTCCCCATTGGTTTGGAATATTGTACACCTTACATATACCAGCTATACAGGTGCTTCCATGTGCTCCCCAGGGACGGTCTTTGGGCCGAAGGCCCCTCGACTATCACGCCGGCCTCAAGCCTTGGGCCTACGGCGTGGCTGGCGAGTGGCAAGAGCTGCCGGAGGTAGGTCGAGAAGTCTGGCCGCGAGTTGGTCTGCAACACGCAGCCCACAGACCAAATTATGCTCAAAACCTGTGGGGCGTTCTCGCTGCCGAACCAACCGACGGTCGCCCACGGTCGCCCACGGTTCCACGGTCACACCGTGCCACCGTGCACCGTCGACCCGTCGACCCACGATCATCATCCCACGCGGACGTAGAACCATGATGGTGCAACCACTTTTCGTTGGACGTCTAACCTGGTAGGTCATCCCTTCTCTTCGCACCGGCACGGTTCAAGGGTCTGGGATGCGAAAGGCGATGTATGGAGTGTCAAAAGTACAGAGTGTCTATAATGTAGACCCTGGATTTATAAACGCCCCTAGAATAATGACTTTGTTTTCTCCTGCACAGATTTATAAAGGCCCCAGAATAATGTGTTTTTTTTTGGGGGGGAAGGGTAGTTGTAGTGGGATATTTTCAAAGTTAGGTTTCTTGATTCGTTTCATTTTAGTATTGCCAGAGTAGCTCCAAGGATTCCTTATTTATTTATCAATTGATTGATTTTCTTATACATTATATTGGAGGCCTTGGTTGTTGAGGGGGGGGTTATAAATCAAGAGTCAACATTACGCAATCGATATAACCATCTATCTATATAATCAGTGGTCAACAATGATCATTCCTGGCATTCGCACGGTTGGAACCCTAGCATTGAGGGCTTGCAAAACTCCCAAGCCACAAGCCATCGCTCCCGGTTGCCCCCGCCCGTGGTCACTCCCATGCCGAGCACTGGGCAACAGCGCAATCCTAAACACTCCATGCATGGCATAAGGTATGACTGCACCCTCCAAATCCACCCCAGTCCCACTATCTTAGAAGGTACCTTTGGAGCCCAAAGCGGAGGGAAAACACCCCTGGTCAACCACTGCAACCGATCGGTCAATATGCCAGTCCCATTTGTCGTGTCCGCAATCCCAAGGCAAGTAGCAACCACCGCATCGATCATGGTGATGATATTCTTTTTCGCCGTAGCCTCACTGCCATCCTCGGCTTCAGTCAATCGAATTCCGGTGGCTTCCTGTGGTTGCCCGGTCGCGAGAGGCCTGGCCGAAGTGCTCGGAGCACAGATTAGTGAACCCATGGGGTCACCCCATGGTCAGGTGAGAGTCAACGAAACCAACATGGAAGCGAAACATGCATTCTACCTGGACCATCCTGTCCGGTGTCCTGTCTGGAAATCCCGGATAGTAGTGGAGGGTTTTCCAGCCAGGACACCCGTCAAATGGTCCTGGTCGAAAAGCCGTGGGGGACCTAGGGTCTTGTTATAATATGTTACAGTATAACTAGAGCAACTTCCAAACATGCTGCCACCCCCTCTTGTGCTGCGGTCTGCCAGTTGGGTGTGCTGCGGTCTGCTTTTGGACCTGGCGTCGGACTTCTTGTAGAGGTCCAAGTTCAAGAAGTCCTTCATGTGGGACATGAGCAACGTCATGAAGCTCCTTGGTCTCTGACGCATCGCTGTTAAACGGAAAACTGCGTGGGTCGTCCTTTTCTAATGGGAAGGCTTGTGGACACCTGACATGCTTCGGAAGGTCATTGACGTAGATGTCAACTTCATGCGTTAAATGACATGGATTAGGATCATGTTTGGAGTGAATGGAGTGTCCTCAACAGTTCATAGGAAAAAACAGTGAGGCCAAGTCACTGACCTCCTGCCATTCCCTGATGTTGAACTACAAAAACACATATTAGTCAATAAATATGGAGACCCCCGTAGGCTCGCAGGCCCCAGAACCAAGGAACATTGACCACCGTCGGTGTGGGGGATCTTCCCTCCCAAATTCTCACCCCTATGGGCCCCTAGAGATCAGCTGTCACATCTGTCAAGCTTCACAAGATACCTCTTCCAGCAGTCACAAAGGGGTGCGATCCATGGAGGTTAGGGGTGCCCCTGTCACATCCACTCACTGGATGAGACCCCTCTACCACCCCGAGCTTTGTGACACCTCTACTTGACACCTCACCCCTTGATTTGCCAAGGATCTGCACCAGATTCTGGTCTTGCGTGGGTGACACCTCTGCACACTCCTGGGACGCCGCGACTCGCCGCGTTGTGTGAACGCGCGCCAGCACATGGAAGACATGACACGAGGTGCCACCGCTGAAGTCCGACCTGTTCACAGCTCAATAAAAAGCAACAACGACTTAAGGTGAAAGTAACAGATTATTCAATATGATTCACACTTTTCCAGTGTGCTGCCACTACCATACTGCTGTCGATATGGCTTGGCTTCCAAGTCTCTGCCAAAAGTCTGTCACCAAAAGCCACTGCCCAGGACCACACAGGCGATCATGTTTCTCCCTCCACCCCAGCAGGGTACCAGTTGGTGCCGCACCCCCCCCCAAACCAAAAAACGAGTAAAACAACACGGGCGAACGCAAGAAGATCGCGCCTCGCGGAGGAACTTGAGACAAGGCTTCAATAGCCAATCCGACATGGACCGGACTTCTTTCACCTCACCAGTCAAACGTGACACACGTCAGCGGTCAGCACGGCTGGGACGTGGCCAAAGGCTTGGAATGTCAGAAGGGGTAGCAGGATGTACCAGGGCTCCTGGAAGTGAAACACTCCATTCGACGCCAGCATACATTGGGGTGGTTGAAACCGCCAACGGGGTGGTTTACCATACTTGGAGTGGTATAGGTGTGTGAATCGACAAAATTCGTGGCCAGCCAGCAAGCGGATGATATGATTAGGCTATTTTTGTTTGCCCTGAGCAAAAGGAACCTGTGGAAAGATCAGGTAATTGTGTATCCATTTGCACCCAGGGAGGGCAAAGCACTTCTCTTTGCAATGGCTTGGTTGAATGATGGGAACTTGGCTCTATGACCTAATTATGATAATTACTGGATTGATGATGCTTAATGAAATTGGATGATATCACAATGATGAAATTGGATGATATCACAGTTGCCTTCTTTCATTCCGGGATTCTCCTTCAATGGTTTGAAGGCATTTCCCTGGCTCTGTGGTGCAGCGCAGGGAAAATGGGACAAGTAAAGGAAACATTTGCTGGGAAAAGGAAGGTGCTCGTTCGTTTCCAATCTGTGCATTCCCAGTTGTGAGACACACTGTTTAATAAGAATATTCAGCGGTTCCAGTGGTAGCGGTTTCGCATTGCAGTTCTCAAACGCAATGTTTAAAAAAAATCTGAAGGAAGGACTACCCCAAAATCCCTCAATCATAACGTGAATCTGCCGGTTCCGGCACACCTCACAACCCTCAACAGAAACGTGCACAGGCAACAAGTGTCTTTCTCGGAACAGCCTTGTCCAATGGGAAGTGGTTTCTATCTCAACCCATAGGATTCCAGCGACCATTTGATGTACTGGTCTGACTCCCGACCAACCATTGCTTCGCTAAGGATTTGGTTTCTATCTCAACCCATAGGATTCGAGCGACCATTTGATGTACTGGTCTGACTCCCTTACAACACCAGGTCACCAGGTCAACCATCAGTGATTAATGGTCTTTGAAGGCTAGGCTTAAAGGTTCATGGTGCCTGCCCGCCGCCCAGGACATGCTCGACTGACATGTCGGCAGCGAGCTGCGGGGTGAGACCGTCCTGCCTCTTCCTCATCGAGGCCTTCAGGCATTCCGCCCAGGAAGTTCTTCTCCACCAGAGGATCGATTCCTCGATCAAGGTGTGCAATTGATCATGCTAATCTGCCTGGACCCTCCAAGGGGTGCCCTGTCTGGAAGCCTATAGGTAGTGTGGGGTAGTCCATTGGACACCCCTTGAGGGTCCTGGTGGCAACATAAATTTCGAGACTTTCGTACCAAAGCCGTGAACTGCTGGCCTTTTTGGAACGCAACAAAAAGGAAAAAATCTGACCACTCACATGGTTTAAGTGGATGGTGCCCTGCAAGGAAGACTGCATGCACTGCGCTCCGTCCCGCCATGGAGCCCATCAGATGTGGTTCGAAGAAGACCATGCCGTTGCGACTGATGGTCGCAGGTGAAGCCTGGAGGGATCGCGAGGAAGTATGAGGAAGTCACATAAGAAAAGCCAGATCATCAGCTGCAATTCCCTATTATAGGGGGATAAAAAGGGGGATGTATTTGCTTGTTTTTGTCGGGTCTTTCATAGGTTCAAGCCGACTTTCAAGACTTGAGGCCAGGGGGAGGAGGTCGAAAGCTAGCCGAATCGCACCGGATGTACTAGTCACATAGTCGGCAAAGCATGTAGTGAGTACATGTTCTGGGAGGAAGGTTGCTATGTACATACTTTGCGCTAAAGAATGTAAATGTGACATCGCTGACTGGGACTGGGAAGGGTACATTGGAACAACCCGGGTGCACTCGTTGGCAGGCACGAAGATGCGTGATCGGCAAATCTGGGGGGTAAATTTACCCTCCGCTTTTGTATGCCTTGAGGGATAAGCATTTCTGACATCATACGGACTGTACAAACACTAGGGCGTCCGTAGTGTAGGAGAAGCACGGGTAAAAGGTGTATGGAATAGAGTGTCTTGAGGAAATAGCCGTCTTATGGTTATTGCAAATCTGGGGGGTAAATTTACCACCCGCTTATGTATGCCTTGTGCCGGAAAGAGGAGTAAGCATTTCTGGCATCACAAGGACTGTGCAAACACCAGGGCGTCCGTAGTGTAGGATAAGCACTGGTAAAAGGTATAAGGAGCAGAGTGTCTTGAGGAAATAACCGGCTTATGGTTATGGCAAATCTGGGGGGTAAATTTACCCCCCCGCTTATGTATGCCTTGAGCCGGAACGAGGGGTAAGCATCACAAGGACTGTGCATACACTAGGGCGTCCGTAGTG